AGAGAGTTGAGGAGGAAGTTTAGGAGGGTTTTGTTTCCAAATACTTATTAAAAAATTTTTATTACTCTAGTTATCTTATAAAATGAATCCCCTTCATCACATTAAGGTTGCTTGCTAAAACCTCTTGATGACTGCCAAAACTCTAATGAACAATTAGCGTATACTGCATGTTAACTACTATTTGATTTTATTTATATTTGGTAATTTGTGTCTATTATGAAAGTATTGAATTGAATTTCATGATTTCTGGACATACTAAATTTAAATGTGATGGTAATTTTGGCATGATTAAAAAACTCTACAGAAGAACAAGAGTAGATTGTGTGGGTCATGTGGTTGATGTAGTAAAAAGGTCCAGTCCAGCAGGATTAAATAAAGTTCAATGTTATGAAGGTGGAAAAGGTTTTCAATACTTAGATATTAAAGCTATTTTGGGAATTTATTTTAAGAAATTACCAAACATCTAGAAATATCAACATTTTCTTTTTTGAAGAATCTAATCTTGGTACAGTAAAAGTTCAAGAAGTTGCTAATGGACCTTTTACTAAATTTAACTTGTTGAAAACCAAGAAAGCAGATACTTTTGAAGAAATTGAAGCTTTATCAATTTTAGTATTAACACCACCTCCTTTGGATTACAAAAGGCAAGAATATCTTTACCAAAATATTTGTCCATTTGTGAAAGATGAATACAAAGATATTACTTGTCCAAGACCATTTTATACTGGCAACAAATAAAATATTCAGAATAAAATCACTTCCATACTTTGTCACTCATTAATTTGTCTCTTGCTGTCATTAGGTTTAATAAGTTTAATCTTTTGACAAATATTGTTGGCTTTTTCCACCTTTAAAGTAAAAAGTACTAAAATAATTTATATACTTAATATATCATCATAAAAAGGATATAAGTATATTAAAAGAGCAATAAAAAAAAATAAAAATAAATATGGTAAACACAATAAATGAACTCCAAAAGAGAAATAAACAATTATTAGAAGAAATAGAACAATTAAAAGCACCTTGCAATTTAAACAGTTGAATAATGAAGAAATTAGAGCATGAATAATTACTGTTTTAAGTGAAAGTCATTACACTGACAATCCTGATGTAGATATAGTTGGTGAGATTATGAGAGTTTATTGTGACCAAGAAAAGTGGTCTCAGTTTTGTAAGTTATATCCTACTCAACCAGCTTGTAGGAATTTAATTCTTAACACCTACCAATATTATCCTTATTATAAGCAATCAAGTGTTCATTGACAGGTAAGGAATAAGGCTAAAAGAGATATCTTTATTAACCTTATCAAATTAAATTCTGAAGAAAGTAAAGAACTATTTCAAAAGTGGTTGAAAGAAGGCAAAATAGAAGATAATTCAACTCTAAAAGGAATATTGGAAAAAGGACATGAAGGATGAGATTCAATCAAACTAAGTTGTTATAATTATTATGACCTTAGAAATCTTTCTCTTGATGAGTTAGTCAATAGTTTGAATGAATTAACTTTTAAAACTAAGGAAAATTTTGATAAAGTGGCTAAACAAAATCAAGAATATGAAGAAAAGATTAAAGAGTTAGGGGCTGAGTTAGAAAAACAAGATGAAAGAATAGAGGTATTAGAAGAAAGGATAGAAATAGAACAGGAACAAGTTACGGAAGTCATAGCAATTGGTGAAAAATGAAGCAAAAATCAAGCAGAAGACATAAAGAGAAAAACAAGAAACTTGAAAGTTCTAGTGCAAAGATTTCTCATCTAGAAGCCCAAGTTGAAAAGTTAAAGGAAGAATCAAGTCAAAAGAGCAAAAAAATTAGAAAAACTAAGTAAGCAATTAACTGATAGTGAAACACAAAATGAAAATCTAAGGAATTCACTCTACTTAGATAATAAACCATTACCTGCCTTACCTAAACAGAGTATATTTAATCAATTAAAAACAGAAGCAAAAGTTAAGTTCCATAAATTACAAAGGCTAATCAAAAAGGAAAGGCTTCACAACCAAGAAATGATTGCTCAAGTAGAAGTTAAGTCTAAATAACAAGTAAGTTACAATGAGAGAACTGGAATACACAGTTTTAGAATTAGAAAAAGAAAGTAAAAAACTTGTGATTTCTGCTCTAAACTTGAGAATAGAAATAACAAATCTGTTCATCAAATAAGAGTACATAGTAAAGTAACTGGGGAATGAATTTCAGATGATGTGTTTTGTGAAAAATGTGAAGAAAAATATTGGAATGATGAATTGTCAAAATGCAATAGATGTGGTAGATTGCAAACTAAGTTAGATTTTGATATTGTTAATGGTAAGAATGTTTGCTACTGTATTAGAAACAATGAAGATTTAGAAGAGAAGGAATTTCCTCTCTTACCTCATGAAGAAATAAGTCAGTCTACTTTTTATGAAAGACAAATAAACTCCCTACAAAAACAACTAAACAAGACTGAAGAAGTCTTAGAAATTGAAAGGGAAGAAGTAATCAAATTTCAAGAAAAGTCTGAGGAATGAGGTAAGAGGCAAAAGCAAGAACTTTTGTTCACTTTGTCTGGTTTTGTTGCAGCATGCCCCATATCTATATTAAGAATGGGTAATTTTGTAATTTTTGATTCATTAATACTAAATGTAATTATTTAATTATTTTTTTAACATATAATAATTTTAGATAACCATCATTAAAAAGGCATCCAGACTTGCAACAACCATAATTACTTGTAAAAAAATTCCATGCTGTTCATATCAAGTATATTGCACACAATTATTAGAACTTAATCATATCCATTTTGTTCCATTAATTTATCTTGACAACAATGTTACATCATCATCTATAAATACATCAACAAAAAACCCTTCAAGATCAAACTTGGCAAAACAAATATATAATCAACAACTACAACAGCCACTTCCTGTTGTAGAATCATTAACTGATATTAATGATACTAATGATGATAACACTAATCATCATCATCATCATCATCTATTCCTTTTTCTTCACCACATATTGATGATACATTGACAATTACAACATCATCAAATTCAATACAACAATATTTATTTAATTAATTTCAATAATAGCAAATCTTCATCACATCATCCTTCTGTATCACAAAAAAAAATATTAAAATCATTCAACTTATTATCATGTGTTATCCACAAAAAATATACGCAATCGCCAAATCGATTTCTAAATAAGGATAACACACACCCAACCCACCAATAAAAATTGGATATTCTGAGGTTTCACGAAATTTGTGGATATTTTTTGTGGATAACTACATAATTATATTCAAATTTGCCAAAGGTCAGAAAATTTTTCTTATAAAATTTCTGTTTGTAATTCAACCAAACAATTACAAATAATTCAAATAGTAACTTTTATTTGAATAGAGACTTTAAAACAGTAAATAACAAGTAACACCAGTGACGAAGTCACTGTCATAAAGCATTCATCTAGTTTATTTATATATTTATTAAAAAAGATTATGATTATCATAAAAATAGTGTCATTTTTGACCCAATTCGTCCTGTAATAATAATTTCAGCCACCATCACTACACAAAACATAATCGTGATGTGTGTGTATGAACTAATTCAAACTTTAACCACATATAAAACTCTTTATTTATTGCATGAAAGTTTTTCAATTTTTAATGTAACATCAATGCTTCATAGCTAAAAAGGTTTTGTTAGATAATAAATTGTCATGAATCATGTTTGTACCATGAATTGAGACTTGCATCACGAATTGCATCTTGTGTCAATTGTATAAAATTATGATAGATAGTGCAATGCAATTTAATAATTTTGACCTCAAGTATAATTGGTACAGTCCAAAAAGTTTTCGGGTTTCGGGTCGGGTTCGGGTTTTTCGGTTCGGTCCCAACCAACAACCCGAACCCGAATTAGGCCCGATCCGAAAACTTTCGGTTAGCCCGGCCCGTCTCGGAGCTTTAATACTAATATTATTGGTGCGAGTAGTCAGTTTTATACATTAATAATTAATTTAGAGACAAATATTTAGACATTTGACATCAATTTAGACATTTGACATCAATTTAGACATTTGACATCAATTTAGACATTTGACATTTCAAATGTTTTGACATTATGGCAAATAAAGTGACCTTGTTGAATATATTTCAACAGTCGGAATGCATAAATGTTTGTCAACTCTATAATCCTTATAATATAGATGTATGTGTATGTTATGCAAAAACTCAATTTTGGTCACAGAGGTCCCCTACCACATTTTCCTAGAAATCTCCCCATATAATAAACAGGATCATTTTAATTAACATGTTGTACTGGGGTGTTACAAATTATATATAATAAACACAAACATAGTTGAGCACACATAAAAAAAATCATATGTGCGGATTTTTCGCCGATCAATATATGTAAATTTTTTCAATATGAAAATTCAAACTCTATCTCC